CATTTGAACTGATCGTCCTACATATGTGCATAATTTATGACTGTTAAAGATGATGATCAACATCGAATCATTTGATGCCAACATCAACCACATACCATTTGCTGCTAAATCAAACCTCCCCAACAATCCTCGGATGCCTATATAAAGCCAATTTTTTTTTGATCTTTAATCGCACTTAAACAGAAATATTATTAGGCGGAATATAAAACAACTAGAAAAAATGCTCAAAAAAAAAAAAAAAAAAAAACAATGTGCCAATAACCTTTTTTTTTGTCATTTTCTACTCTCGAAAAAAATCTTTCAAAAAAATGTTCTCTTTTTTTCCCCATTTTCAAGACTATCCATTTGTATATTTTGACACAAAATCCTTCGTTTCTTTTCTACACTCCTTTGTTGACCACTTTTTTTTGATTGCAAGATGACGTGTTTATCGACCTTGCATTAGCCGGCATTAAGTTCCGATGACTGACCACATCCATAGCAGTTTTGACCAGTGGTCAACAATAAGCAAAGAAAAAGAAAAATGAGCAACAATAAGTGTAACAGTCAATGATTCACACTTTGATTATCATTTTCTTCACAATGCTACTCCTTTTTTTTCTACTTTATTTTATAACAACAGATATCAGTTAGTCTAAAGAAATAGCATAAATTCTGATCAAACCCTTTTTTTTTTCCATTAGCATATATATGTATCTGTACAGTTAGTATTTTGACAGGCGCATTTTTTTCCAATCATTTTTTCCAAGGCCAAATAAACAGCACCCCGGCATCAGCAGCCAAAAAAACAAAACCCAACACAAAAGGCTACCGACCAATTTTGGCCAAAAATTGTTTGACCATAGAATAAATATCAAAAAATTTGCATATTTTTTATTTTTTTTTTTTTGTAAAAAAATTTTATTCTGTTGCAGTTTCTTTCTGCTAAAACAAAAAGATCAAAACTGAACTAAAGATGAAACATTGGAAAGATCTGAAACAAAAAAAAAGCGAAGGCAATAAAGCTTTCATCATGAAAAAGAAATAAAAAAAAAGCAGAAAGGAATGTAAAATCTGTTAACAACTTTATTGCCAGCCATATAATTTTAAATTTTTTTCCTTAGCATCCTCTTCTGTTCAGTCCAGTTTAAAATAAAGAATTTCTAAGAATACCAAAAAAAAATTTAAATTTTTTTGACTTCCCCTTCCCCCTTCGTTCCTACATCTCTCCTATGCTATGCATATAATTTAGGGATTTCAACATACTGTTTACATTGTTCAAAAACTGATTCTTAAAATATGTAAAACAGAATCTTTTTTTTTTCCTTTCTTCTTTTCTGTTTATTTATTCAATTCAAACTTTTCTGTTTGATTACCGTTGTTGGATTTTTCCTTTTCTTTTTCTTACGGGGTGTTATTGTTGTTTAAACAAACATAGATAGTTCTAAAACGTAAAAAAAAAAAGTGATCAACTTAGTGTGCTCGTACTTCAAACAAATGTAACAACACCCAATAAAAACATATATCATATGGTTTGAAAAAAAAATTTATTAAACTATAAAACGTTTACTCACGTTTAAAATTTGTTCATGCATTCCTTTGCTCAGTTTTAGCACTTGAGCTCTACGTTCCAGAGCTCCAGTTAAAGCATCTGCCATTCGTTCCAATTCATCACATTTTGGTAACAAACTACCGGCCAATTCAACATCGTGGCATGAAATTAGGTCTTGACCCATGTCACGTAACGATCGAGCCAATTTGACATCTTCCTGTAAAAAAAAAATAAAAAAACCAGTTATAAAAAAAACCAAATAGTGACATTTTTGTTACAGTCTTTTTTTTTTTTTTGATAATGACTGCATCAAAATTTTTTGACCAACAATTCAGCAGCAGCAGCAGCAGCAGCCAATTTAAATGCTAATAAAATTGAAAAGAATAATGTCTAATGAAGTTGTCATTATTTTATTTATTTATTATTTTTTTTTTTGCACACATATTTTTCTGATAAATCATTGCGAATAAAAAAATTCAACAAATTTTTGAGTTTTTTGTTGAAGCAATAAACAGAAGGGAAAAAAAAAGGAAGGGATGCTGTAAAAAAAATTTGTATGAATCACTGACCATTGCATGCTCAGAATATTCGGCATGTGCTTGTGATAGCATTTCAGCTTTTGATGGACCATCACCAACTTCTCGATGTTCTTCCAGGTACATCATGTGTTTAGCAAATGATGCTTGTAACTAAAATAACAATAAAAAAAAATCATCATAGAACAATATGCAAAAAATCAATGATCAATCTCGCTTTTTTTTTTATCGTCAAGCTTTTGTTTATTTGTTTCTTCTTTTTTGCCGTTTTTTTGCAAAAGTTAGTTTACTTTTTTATTTTTTTTTGTCTTCTCCTATATCTCTTCAAAGCACTTGACCAACGAAATATTACTGCCGTTTTTTCATTTTTTCTTTTTTCAAGTGAAAGCAAAAACAAAGACCACAGTTTTTACTAAGCATCAAAAAACAAGCAAAATAATCATCAACTGCGTGTAACAAACAGCAAAAATCCTAAATACCAAACAGAATAAGAGCTAAAACTATAAAAAAAAAACAAATTTGCTCGAGCATCTAAAACCAAAAGCAGATAACGATAAGATAAAAACAAATATGACTTATTGGAAAGGCACATTCTGTCCTAAGTGATTGTGTAAAGTAAGTTTGGGTAACATCGTCAACAACAACAGAAGCAGCATCAGCAGCAGCAGCAGCAGCAATAACATCAGTCAACAGAGATGAACATTAAATGAGATGTAGAATTTGTGGGCTCTTAACTTTGAAGTATTTCACACATCTGACTCTTCAACTACACAACCTTTGGATAACCGCCGCCGTCCTAACTCTGCTCCAGAAGACGCACTGTGAAGCGGGTACAGTACACGGCGGTACAAATAAGAAACGGTTTCACAGAATCCCAATAGCAGAAGATGCATAATAAAAAAAAAAAAAAGAAAGAAAAAAGGAGCAGTCTGCCTTAAAAAATTAAATAATTTAATAATGAAAAGATTAAACTCACTAAAAATGGTGAAATAATATAAAGGAACAAAAACCCATTGAGACAAATAATGGACAACGAAAAAAAAAAAAGAAAGGAAAAGATGAACCTTTTTATTGTCCGCTTTATTCCTTCACCTCAGCATCTTTTCCCTCCCCCTAGAAATGTCAATCATTTAGCTTAGATTGATAGAAAAACGAAATTCTTTTTTACTCCTCCCTCTAATGAAATAAAGTTTAAGAGAAAAAAGATATTTCAGTATCTTTTTTTTTTTTTGTCAAAATCTTTCCAAAGTAATGTCAGGCAATTGTCAAAATTTTAAACAAAAATTTTGACATCATTTGAGCTCTGTGTTGTCAACTAACCCTTTTTTTTTTTT